AATTTATCTGTACCCAAATATAGTGAAAGTAATAAGTATAAGTTTATCCGTTTATTTTCCTCAAGAGTACCGTATATTCTGATCATAATACTTCTAATATTGTTGGAGCTTAGGTTATAGTTTGTAGNTGCGGTCGTGGTCACGTTGAGGCGTTGTTCACATCGGTTGTAGAGGCGGATACAACTCTCCGCACGATCTCCCTCCATCTCTATCTATTGGCAGACTGTCTGGTGCAGTCACATACGCCGTCTCCCACTGCTGATTTCACTTGGTCGGTCCAGCGCATTGGTGACCTGCCACGCGATCGGGTTCCTTCGACTTTTCCTTGGACGACCAGTCGTTCTATGGAGTTGTCATCCCGCCTCGAGACATGTCCGAAGTATTGCAGTATGCGATTAGTACTAGTTAAACTAAGCTTTCTCACACTAAACATTAAACTTAAGAACGATGACTCTAATTGGTACTGATTAATAATAAATAAATAAATAAATAAATATCCTTGGACATTTAGCAAAGCTTGTACTATGGGTACTAGACAACGGATATAAACATACTTAAATACTTTTTTTTTTTTTTTGTAAATACATACATATTATACATAGAAAACACCCAGTCCAATACAAACAAATATGTTCATGCACACAAATGTTTGTACTGTGCGGGAATCGAACCCGCAACCTCCGGAATAGTAGTCCGATTCGAACCACTACACCAAACGGCCGACAAATTACATTATTGGTTTACGTTAGAAGATCACATTTCAATTTTTCAAAGAATATTATTTGGGGTTTGATTAACAGGCGATTTTTGTGTTAATAAATGAAACCTCTTTTTATTCCAACCAGTAACTAGTTTAGAATTAGTACAATATTATATTGGTTAATACTAGTATTTTATGTAAGCCTATAAAATTGTGGTCCGACAACATCTTAATTATTATTATTTTCCCTTAAATCTTTAAACTACTCTATTAGCTTATTTCCACAATATTCTTTTCTGAGGCGCTTCGCTGCAGACAGCACCGCGTGTACCTCTGGCGCACAAGATAAATGGCCGCTACATTACACAACTTTTATATTAAACTTGCGTCTAACTTGACTTCTGATGTTTGACTAGAAGCAATCATTAATGCTGGACAATATTACTTAAAAAGTAACTATTGCTTGTTTAGTATTTATTTATTAGGTACATCAACAAAGTCACATGCATACAGTTCATACATTTTAACATGGTTTAACACATGATGCGTATATGACCTCAATTACAGGTATACACATCATTTATTTTTGCTATGTTAGGGTACTTATACACTAGAAAAAACAAAAATCAATTGAATAGAGTTTAAGCGCCGAACAATATAAAGGATTTAGTAATTGTTCATTTTGTTTGGTGCCTAACTTTTGAAAATGTTGACATGTTTTAATCAATTAACTTAATTAAAGCATATGAACCCGAAACATGAACGATAAACCGGGTGGTTTTAAATTAAGTAAAATAAAATGTATGTATGAGCCCTGAGTTTGACAGCGCGTGTTTTGTTTTAAGTTTATAAAAATAATATTATATTTTTAAATGCAGAGGACATAACAAAGGCCACAACAAACTAAAACATGTTTTAAAGCTTGAAATGTTTTTTTGGCAATTGAACAATTTAACTAGTTCAATACAAACTTTAATTTTAGAAATTCGAAATGCAAATAATGTCTTAACTGAAATCACAAACCTAATTTTCGTTTAAGTATTATTTATTCAAACAAAATATGGAATGTCAGTTACTTAAGGTTCCTTTGCAATGTCAGTATTTTGCGATTTACTCGTCTTATTCACTGAGCAGTGACTATTGTTTGAATTAGCTAAGTGGTCTTAAATTACTGAAGTAACTTGAGCATGAAATAATTGTAGCACGAAGTTTAATTAGACTTTGATGTTAATTACTGGGATTAAGAATGAGACAGTAACTTTACAAAGGTTTAAAATGCACTAATGAGCATTGTTATAAACAAAATATTTTATCGCAATTTTGAGACACAAGCTGACCGGGCGAACTTCGTACCTGCTATGTTCATCAGTAATATTGTAGGATTCAATTTTTTCCTGATCGGTCCGGTCGGTCAGAGACACAACACAACACAACACAAGATTAGAACAATACAAACAAACAATCAAATTTTTTCGCTTTACAATATTAGTGTAGATAGATAATGAGTCCGTACCTTTAGGTAAAGCAATCTAATTGTGAAATTCGTAACAGTATCGGGATTTCGAAATTGTCGCCATTCCAATTCTCGTAGATTTCAATCCAGTAGAATTTATTGATTTCGTTACTCCTTCAGTTTTAATTCAGACGTAAAACATTTATTTGTACAAAACAAAATTAATGAGAGCTAAAAATTGTTATACAATAGAATAGATTTAATAATGTACAATACAACGACCGTGTATAACCGTTATACACGGTCGTTGTATTGTACATTATTATAATAATACTTATACTGTACAAGTATTATTATGAGTATTATCATCATGATGTAGAATATTTGTAGTACATTGTAAAAGTATGATAAATTGTGTCGTATAACTAAACATTCGTCCTTTTTTTGTAGAAAGAGCAAGCTCTTGATATAAATCAACCGAGGAGTAGGTACAGATGCGATCTAAGGATTTATAAATTGATTGTTTACCCATCTTCATTGGTAATTGAATTTATCTATACATTACCTAATTATAGTGTAGGTAATAAGAATAAGTATATTATTTTCCTCAAGAGTACCTCATATTCTGATCATAATACTTGTAATATAATGACTCCACGTGGAGAAATAGAGAAAATAATTTTCTTTTAGAAAAGAATAGAACTATCATGTCTGGAGATTCAGATACCGGAAAGTAAACTTTGATAATTTCAAACAAAATATAACAATGTAATATTATTATGTGATAATTCCTAATAATTCCAACAGTAGTTTTATATGTAAATTATTGTTATTAAGAACCCCTAACAAAATGTAAGCCTAAAATTTAATCCGATTAGGCTGTACAAACAACCCCACTAAGCCCGAGGGAGGTTTTATATACGATTATTATAAGTTAAATGTTAACAAACAAGTTTGATAGGTTTTAACAAAATAAAATTGAATATTAATAGCAAACTTAATTCCATTATAACTGACGGCCGATGGGGCAGACAGGTTCTGGAGTGGAGGTCTCGCAACAGAAAGCGCAGCGTAGGACGTCCTCCCACAAGGTGGACCGACGACCTCTTATAGGTAGCGGGAAGGTGTTGGATGCAGGCCGCCACCAACCGGCCATTGTGGAAATCATTGGGGGAGGCCTATGTTCAGCAGTGGACGTCCTATGGCTGAAATGATGATGATGAGTAAACTTAATTGTATCTAGAAAAGAATAGAACTATCTTTTGTAAACATTATGGAAGCAATAAACTATTGAGTATTGAGTATATCTGTACGGGGTATGATTTCTTTTTGTATTATTTGGAACGAGCCTCCATTTGACCTAAGTTTCATCATAGCAAGTGATTAAAAACATTTATGAATTTCACGACTAAGCTCGAGTCGTAAAGGCATCCATCTAGATAGAATATACTCGTAATATGGATGCAATAAATATTGAGCAGTATTGAGTATGTTTTAGAATTTCAGCCAAGCTTAAGCTTTCACATTTTGTACAGTTATAAGCTTAATTGTATTTTTGGCACTCATGTCAATTATTTCTTGTAATGTTGCAAAAATAGCGATGACCAGTCAAGAGAAAATAACTTAAAATTACACAACTTCAGCGATTTTAGCATCGATAAAGCAAAACATTAATAATCGAAAATATCCGCGTGGGACGGACCGNTATAATCGCTCCACGTGGAGAAATATAGAAAATTATTTTCTATCTTGTCTGGAGTTTCGGATACCGGAAAGTAAACTTTGATAATTTCAAACAAAATATAAACAATATAATATTTTTATGTGATAATTCCTAATAATTCCAACAGTAGTTTTATATGTAAATTATTGTTATTAAGAACCCCGAACAAAATGTAAGCCTAAAATTTAATCCGATTAGGCTGTACAAACTACCCCACTAAGCCCGAGGGAGGTTTTATATACGATTATTATAAGTTAAATAATGTTAACAAACAAGTTTGATAGGTTTTAACAAAATAAAATTGAATATTAATAGCAAACTTAATTCCATTATAACTGACGGCCGATGGGGCAGAAAGGTTCTGGAGTGGAGGCCTCGCACCGGAAAGCGCAGCGTAGGACGTCCACCCACAAGGTGGACCGACGACCTCTTATAGGTAGCGGGAAGGTGCTGGATGCAGGCCGCCACTATCCGGCCATTGTGTAAATCATTGGGGGAGGCCTATGTTCAGCAGTGGACGTCCTATGGCTGAAATGATGATAAAAATTAAACTTAATTGTATCTAGAAATATCTGTACGACGTATGATTTCTTTTTGTATTATTTGGAACTGAGTCTCCATTTCACCTTAGTTTCATAATGGCAAGTGATTAAAAACATTTATGAATTTCACGACTAAGCTCGAGTCGTAAAGGCATCCATGTAGATAGAATATCATTTGGATGCAATAAATTATTGAGAAGTATTGAGTGTGTTTTAGAATTTCAGCCAAGATTAAGCTTTCACATGTTGTACAGTTAAGGCTAAATTGTATTTTTGGCACTCATGTTAATTCTTTCTTGTAATGTAGAAAAAATAGTGATGAGCAGTCAAGAGAAAATAACTTAAAATCACAGAACCTCGGCGATAAATTTAGCATCGATAAAGCAAAACATTAATAATCGAAAATACCCGCGTGCGACGGACCGAGATAACTGGCTATCGGTCAGACAGTTCCATTATATGTATTTGCCGTCGCTGCAATTTATCTGGCTGCGCTTTTTGTTGGTCTGCTCGTAAATTATGAATAGCAGAATCAATTCCAGCGCTGGCCTCTGTAATAATAGAATTCAATTTTGTTCGCAGATCTCATGTTCGAACATGAAAACTTCGAGGGCACCTGAAAAAGTTTCGATCACAAAATGCAGGATGAAGATACCGAGAAATAAAATGTAAACATTTCGGTAACGGTCAGAGATGGGTCGACAATTTGTGTACGTGCTGGCCTCAGCACTGGCACTGCAAATAATTGGTGCGTCGACGTTGATGTGTCCAAGTGACCCTAACTGCGTTTGCGGCGGCACGCTCGCTGTCGAACTCAATTGCAACATCGACGGTGAGTGCACTCCGATGTTCGTTTCAAACTGTCTTTTACAGCCGCCAGAAAAAGGACAGAATAGTTTTTATTTAGTTACTTTTTATTGGTTGAAAACATTTTGCCAACAAATAAAATCCGTGGTAGTGAATCCTACGAAAAAGAGTTATTTATGTTTCTTAAACTAACAACGACGCTGAAAACTCCATTCAAATCGATTGAACTTTCAAGCATTGTTTCATAATACCTACGGACTAAGAGGCAGACTTGATTTTTATTTAAACAGTTGTCAAAAGGATTAATATACCTCTTTATTTTAATCCAAAGGTCATCACCCATCATGTTCATTTCAACTTCAACTAACGACCAGTGTTTGTTTCAGGACGAATTTTCAAGATAAATCTACTACCAAACACATACATAAACATAAAATGCGAGAACACCACAAGTCTCGACTATAGTAGACTACCAAAATGTGCCAATGTTTCAAATTTATTTAAATCAGTCAGCTTCAAAGACTGCCCTATACCATTATCATCTTTCAAAGATGTCCTCACAACCATGGGAGTATCTAAAACTATGGCATTGATTTTTCAAAACGCCAAGAACTTGTCTGGCTACTTTGATAGAAAACACTTTGCCGGACTCCAAGATTTAACCAAACTACTTCTGTCAATAAATGGTGTAACACACTTACCAGACAACTTATTTGCAGACATAAATAAGTTGACTTGGCTTAACATAAGATCAAACAGTATCAATCTCACAGAACAACTGTTCAAGCCACTAGAAAGATTAGAGACTTTAGAGATTAGTCACAATCACATGACCAATATATCTTCGAACTTATTTTCCCATTTATCATTCTTAAGAAAGCTTTCGTTGTGGCAGAGCAACGTTACCTGGTTCTCCAAAGACTTTTTCACGGGAGTCGACGTGCTCGAAGAATTAGATTTAAGCTCTAATGGACTTAACGAACTTCCTGGGTCGATATTCAAACCGCTCAGGAAATTAAAGAAATTAACATTATTCTCAAATAAGTTCTCGTCGCTGCCACAGAGTTTGTTTAAGACTAACGATGAGTTGGAAACAGTCGTTATCCTTAACAACGATGTCAAATTACAAGAACTCCCGAAGTATCTGTTCGGGAACCTGCCGAACTTGAAGTTGATTTATATTCAAAGGTGTGGACTCGAAAGGGTTCCGTACGACGTTTTCGCTGACTCGCCTTCAGTAACGAACATATCACTAGCGTACAATGATATCAAGTCCTTGCCAGAATCAGTATTCAATGACCAAATTAACTTGCTGGAATTGGATTTGAGCCACAATAAATTGGATAAATTGGAATCGAAACTGTTTTCTTCGTTGGTTAGATTGGAAAAGCTTGATTTGCGACACAATTCCTTGGTCGAAATTAGCGGGTAAGGAAAACAACATTTTTTATTTGACGAAACTACTTTTGACTGTAAATTAGTTAATATACCAGAGGAGTAGTATTAATAAGGAGAAAAAAAAGAAACTTAGCTGATTACATGGCTCAAACGTAGTTTCGCCTAGATAGTTTTTAATGTAACATTCACTATACGTTGCAAATACAATATGCTAATGTTATCCAAAACTTTCAGCGCGACGTTTTCCTCGTTGCTCAGCCTTATCTACCTAAACATGGAGAACAACAGTTTGAAAGTAATATCTTCGTATTTGTTCAGCAACAATAAACAGAAGATGTCTATATCGTTGGCGTACAATAAACTCGATTTTGAACACAAAGAATTGATAAACAATTCGTGGGTCGTGAATAAGGCGTCCCCTTTTGCGCATACTTACAATTTGAGATTGCTAAACTTGAGTCATAACGAGTTCAGAACGGTATTCGACGATTGGTGGATAAACGGACATGATCATTTGGATATCAGTTATAATTATATCAAGAATCTATGGGTAAGGCTCAATTTAATAAGGAATATTGACTGTCATTTACAAAATTAATGTCGATTCCGACTTCGTTGTAAGAAACTAATGATTTTTGACATCACTATTATTCCTGAATAAGTTGTTTATATGACATTTTCTATATATTTTTGTGCGTGAAGTCTAACAGTAATATTATATTCCAGGATGGAGATCACCCACTGGATGAAGTAGCAGATTCAAAACGAAGCTACCAAGACTTCTTTAAAAAGCCACTTAAAGAAGTTTGGATTTCCCACAATCCATTGAGTTGTGAATGCCAGAACTTTTACTTTCTCGACTTCTTAGATGAACATACCAAGACAAAGGTAACTAATTTCTTTTATCCCTTTTGAAGCTGCTATCTGGCAGTATTAAATACCTCTTTACTGTGATCGTGACGTACAGTTCTTTGAAAATATTTAATTGTTTCAGGTTATCGACATTCACTACTTCAAGTGCCACATTTGGTCTAGAGAAACGTGCTACACACGTTTTACCATATTCATTTCAATCATAACAGTAATAGTGTCATTGTATATTATAGTGTTAATACTCTTCATAACGTATAGGAAACAAGTTAACTCGTTGATAAAGAAAAAACTCTCTGAAAGAAAACACAAAAAGAATACAGCAGTTACCAGTGGAAGGCGGAGGGAAATTGTCGTTAGATTTTGCGAGAGCGACGAAGAATTCGTCCTGAAAGAGATTTTACCCGAACTAAAAGGCCATAAGGGAGTAGAAGTACAGATAAATCCGATCAACAATCTTAAGAACAACCAATTTATAGACAGTTTGAAGATGTGTGTCAAGGAACACAAACACACAACACTCGTCGTGTTTTCCCCGAACTACTTAACGTCAACTTACAGTCACGTGGATATAAAGAAAATTCACGGTGAAATGTTAAAGGCGGAAAATACAGTTTACGTTTTCGCCGACGTTGGCCCCGAAAACTCGATATACGCGTTCCTGAAGGAGCAAAGAGATGAGCGGACTTCGGTAGTGTGGAGCGAGGCAGATTTTTGGAAAAAGTTCTTGCGTGTGGTGTCTGGTGACATGAAAAAAGACGAGTTACGAATGAAGTCCAAGTACGCGAAAGCCAAAGCTAAATTGCCGTCGAACATTTCGTTCTCGAGACTGCCCGACTGGTCGAGCCTCAACAACGTAAACACGTTCACCCACAGTCACGTGTAGGCTCTCTGTAATTTAGCGAGGTAAAGACTGACTTCTCCGGTATAGACGAGGCCCATATTATCAGTTCCAATATCAATCGGTATCTTTGTAATTAATGGACAGTTTTTGTATTCATAACAATATTATGTTATTAGGTAGACGAAACAAAACTATTACGATAAGTGTTCGGTAAAAATACTTATTGTGAAATTTTTACGAAATATTTTGATGATGTAAAAATTTAGTGTGTAAGGTATATTTTATTATTTGTAAACTGTAACTTGTAGGTTAACATTAAGTTTCTTGTTTCGTGGATATCTTACGTTGATGCGGACTTCAAAGAAGTATATGTTAACATCTGTCATTGCGAATGTAATAGTTAATGTAATCAAGTTTTGGTTAATAAGTGTACATACGAGTATTAAAATAAAACACAAACATTTAAGTTTCATGGAAACTGTATGTTGTTAAGAGTTGTAAACTGCAGCTTATAAAATAAAACCTATACTTTACCAGCTCTATAATTATTTAAATTAATTTACAACTTTTAAACACATTACCGTAGCTTAGACATAGTAAAACTTCTTCCAATCTTAGAAAAATATGCTTCTGGTGGTAGATAACATAATTAATTATGCATCTGATTTTAAAACTCTTGGGTTCGATTCCCTTGTAATTTCCCTTTAATAATTTTAATTCTTATCAGCCATAATGTCAGTTAATTCATTACACTAGCAAAACCAGAACAAACCCTTCAACACTATAGACTCAGAGTTAAAATTACTCACTCAGTATAAATACCACAAAGTCGAAAAGGTATGTCAAAATGTCAATAGAAGCTAAAAATTACTAAAGCAAAAAAAACACGATTTTACAATGCTCTTTACATAGTCAATCAAACAACAAAATAGAAATTTTGACTTTTACGACTTATTTGAATGCTGCAAGTAAGTAGGTATTATCTTTCATATCGCAACCAACAAGGAACATCAAACGAACAAAGTGAGCAAGAAAAGCTCTGTGAAAGCTCAATACTTCAAACATTTTATGAATTCAATATCTAATACCAAAGTTGTTTATTATATTTTCTTTTGCACTATCTTGATAGTCTCTTGACAATAAAACTTGAGAACTTCTTTTGAACTCATAAATTCAATAGGGATACTACTCGTAGTTTAAAGATCTTACCAGTAAAGTTTTTTTAAATGCTTTTTGGTCAAGTCTTTTTATCGATTCAAATAATAATTTGCCTTCTCATTAATATTATTAAAAAAACTGAAACATTTAAACCATAAACTTCAGTGCAAAGCACTTGTGTTTTAATGAAACAACGCTTATGCACAATAGAATAATTAAAGATAAATGTAATTGTTTATCGAGAAAAAAAACCATATATTTGATCAAAAGCAACGCATCCCACTTTTGTCTAACTTAGTGATGTGAAAAAGCAAATTACCTACACTCAGTCATTTTCCAAAACAGACTGATCATTTCCCAAATTCCAAAATTTTTTTTGTTTATTCAATGTTTACTAAAGCCTTTCAGAGGCCATCAATAAGGGTAAAAAGAGGAATAATTCATTGTTGTCGCTAAACATGAAAATATGAGCCACTCGAAACAAAACAAAGCGCAGTCAGAGTACTTTTGTTCCATTGTTGAATGCGCCCTTTCCTGTATGCGGTGAGCGAAACCTTTATAATATGAGCAGGGGTGAGGGGAAAACCCTGTCTCGTGTCGCATCCCCAGGGTTGCCATGTGAATAATAATGTGCAGACGCAAATAACAAGTTTTTATTGAGAGGGACAGGGTATATTGTCTTTGAGCTCGAATTAAATTTTCATTTGGTCATCCGTTACTTTTTTTCAGGCCTCGTGAACAGGCATCATTATTTCAGTCTACTGACTTCGTTCACAAACGAAGGCTTCTGCTATCGACCCATGTATCATGTTTCATAGTGACTATGGTATGCAGTCGTGGTCTCCACTTGACTGACTACAGAGAGAATATTTTAAGCCATAAGTAAGTATTGAATACCTTAAGACGTGACAGTAACATAAGTTGACATACCTATTGGCGTACAATTTTCATCAGATTTTACATAAATAAATAAAATTATAGATACGGAAAAATTCCAAATTATTGGAACACAACACAAAAATACATGAGAACTTTATTAAAGGATGTTCCCAAAACTCTCTTTTATATGAAATCACGTTGAAAACCTACCCATGAACATACCGATTCACAACTCTCTACATTAAATTAAGATTAACTCATATTTTAATATGATTAACTCATTGATGTGTTTTAATGAATCCGTGATCATGAAATTCGTGATTTATGAAATAAAACGGCGAGACGCGCGCCATTTAATAACCGCCATTTGTCCAGAAGTTGATTTATTCCGGTTATTTAATCAACAAAATTAAACATTACGGAATTAGAGCTAAAGCACACGATGCGTTGCGGCACCGAAATGGTTTCGCCGTATCGCGCGATGCGGCGCCGCACCGAAATGGTTTCGCCGTATCGCGCGATGCGGCGCCGCACCGCTCGTGTGCCCGCCACAGATATTTCTATGTAAGACGCGACGCAGCGACACCGCTCTGGCATCGCACCGCCTTCGCAACGCATCGTGTGCTTTAACTCTTACTCTTATGGTCAGGCTTATAATTATTTAGTCGTGCCACACGCAATGTATGAACTACGCCACATCAAGTTAAGCTCAGTGCCATCTTTTGTAACTGTAATAAGTTCTATTTTCCAACAAAAACACAGGTGTGATGTCGACGGTACCCGATAGAAGAGCCATTCAAGGTAGGTACATGTTATCATTATTATGAATAATGAGTATTATTATGATAACGGTGTATAAGGGTAACGAAGTCAAAAACGTAGCTTACTTTTAGTTTTTATTTAAAGTTTATTTAATTTATTCACCTTATTTTTCCAGTACATTGATTCATAGAATTAAAAAAAAAAGACAAGATTCTTAAACATTTTTTGAATATTGGATATCACGTCAAGTGCTACGATTTCTGAGAAAATCTTCAATCACTTACGTTAAGGTGATTATTTTCTGCAAAAGTTGAAATCAATCGGCAAAATTGTTTAGCGACCATTTCTTTTATTTGTAAAAAAGTGGTGAGCACAAAAAAATATAACTTTTTAAAATACTTTTTAAAATTAAAAAATATCCAACGCTGTGGTAAAAAGTACATTTCGATTTATTTATAGCACCCACATAAAACAAACCAAACAAAACTGCCTTGTAATGTTAAAATCTCACTCGGGTAAAACAAGTTCTACGAAATCCAAATATGAGAGATAAAATATTGGTTTCATATTGCTGGCCTCATGCCCATTCGACTGTATTAAACGAATAATATAAAAGACACATCATGCAAGTTCGCGAATCTGCTTAGAAAATGTGTTGTCAGCATATTTTCTTTGAGTGTGGAACAACCTTAAAGAATTGTACTTTCTTCACAAATTAAACCAGTGTTAGACCGTACTACAGTGACAGTTATAACAGCAAGTTGTGATACAAGCCTGCTGTAAGAGTAAACTCTTGAAATATCTCTGGTATGCTTATTTAGGGCCGGGGAGAGAAATAAAACACTGGATACTTATCACTTAAGTAATTCCAAAAAGTTACATCCAATCGTTTTGTTTCTCTTATGATGTTCATTTTGTTATACTCATAATAGTTATACATATTTTATGATTTTTCCAATTTCCATAATGAAAGTAAAAAGTGGAACAAACGCTGGAAAATCATTCGCTGCACATTGCCAACTCGGGTCCCGCAGGTATATCGGAATGTGAGAAATAAGCTCTATGCTGCATTTTGAATTTCAAAAGTGGAATGTAAGCTCATAGTGATACGGTTACATTTCAATCAACATCAACAGTTTGTTTGACACAACTTAATTACCCGCCTTGACAAGCATTCATAAGAGGCCTAATTACATCCAAAGTGAAATAAAACCACCGTCATTAGAAGTATACAAACACAAGTATTTATGTTGACAATCTCTCCGAATTTCGTCCTTTACAACATTTCGATGCAGTAATTAGCAACGTTTTTCCTGTAACCATGCTCGATGCGGGTTGCCAGGTAACGAAATAAAACTCCCTCGAAATATTGTTAAATGTACTTCCAATTCCAGGATTTCCTGCCACTGATTCTGAGTATAATTGGCTTCGTAAATAATCTACAGTTTGATATAATTGCACTAGGATGGAATTTATGTGTATGTCACTGCAAGTAATTTGTAACGTTTTTCCTGTAACTCGATGCCGGGTTGCCAGGTAACGAAATAAAACTCTCTCGAAATATTGTTAACTATAGGTAGGTGCTTCCAATTTCTTCAATTATTGTTCCGTCTCTACCATTGTTTCCGGGTATAATATAATTATCTTCGTAAATAACCTACAGTTTGATAATTGCACTAGGATGGAATATACATTTCGGTGCAACTAATTTGTAACGTTTTTCCTGTAACTCGATGCGGGTTGCCAGTTAACGAAATAAAACTCTCTCGAAATATTGTTAAAATAAGGTAGGTTCTTTCAATTCCTTCAATTATTGTTCCGTCTCTACCATTGTTTCCGGGTATAATATAATGATCTTCGTAAATAACCTACAGTTTGATAATTGCACTAGGATGGAATATACATTTCGGTGCAACTAATTTGTAACGTTTTTCCTGTAACTCGATGCGGGTTGCCAGTTAACGAAATAAAACTCTCTCGAAATATTGTTAAAATAAGGTAGGTTCTTTCAATTCCTTCAATTTATTGTTCTGTCCCTGCCATTGTTTCTGAGTAGGTATAATTGTCTTCGTAAATAACCTACAGTTTGATATCATTGCACTGGGATGGAATTCAGGGCACGTTGCCGGCTCGTTGTCGCTTATCCCGCGAGGCGCGCGGAATGAGATTCGATCGTGCCTGTGTATAGAAATGTACAAGAGGAATACAACTTTCGGATGTCGGCGATAACAGGCGTGCACAATACCCGCGTGACAACTAAATGGAATCAGGTACTCGAAGTAGCTGGTGTGTAGGTACAGTGCAAAGAATAAAATTGTGTCTTTTGTCTGCCCGACCTTGTCGAAGTAATGGATTTTTCATAGTATCGAAAAATCTTTCACGCGCAGCACTTGTTGTTTAATGTAGTTTTTGTAGACAATGACTCTGAAATCTCACTAATTATTAACAAGAAACCCATGAGGTTTTATTAAAAATAAACATTCAATTCAATCAGGACAAGTGATTTATTACTTATCTAGAAAGTGTGGGCTTTATAAATAAATGAAGTTCAGTCAGTATTTTTCCGCTATTGCATTATCGATCGCACTAAAATATTTTTCATTCTTTTACGTAGGTTGGAATCTGGGGGCACGGCAGTGCCCCCACCAATTCGAGCAAAAAAGCGGCACGGCCGTACCATCCTTTTCTCAAAGCAATTCAGGCCATTT